ATGTGTCCAAAATTATGAAAAAAGTCATAATATAGCATGACATCAAAAATTATGAAAACAAAAGTCATAGTATAGTATGTTGTCAAAAATCATGAAAAAAGTCATAGTATAGCATGTTGTCAAAAATTATGAAAAAAAGTCATAGTATAGTATGTCGTCCAAAATCATGAAAAAAGTCATAGTACAGCATGTCGTCAAAAATTATGAAAAAAAAGTCATAGTATAGTATGTCGTCCAAAATTATGAAAAAGTCATAGTATAGTATGTCGTCCAAAACCATGAAAAGAAGTCATAGTATAGCATGACGTCAAAAATTATGAAAAGAATGCATAGTATAGTATGTCGTCCAAAATCATGAAAAAGTCATAGTATAGTATGTCATCAAAAATTATGAAAAAAAGTCATAGTATAGTATGTCTTCAAGAATTATGAAAAAAAGTCATAGTATAGTATGTCGTCCAAAATCATGAAAAAAGTCATAGTATAGTATGTCGTCCAAAATCATGAGTCATAGTATAGCATGTCGTCAAAAATCATGAGTCATAGTATAGTATGTCGTCCAAAATCATGAAAAAAGTCATAGTATAGTATGTCGTCCAAAATCATGAGTCATAGTATAGTATGTCGTCCAAAATCATGAAAAAGTCAAAAATTATGAAAAAAAAGTGATAGTATAGCATGTGTCCAAAATCATGAAAAAAGTCGTAATATAGCATGACATCAAAAATTATGAAAACAAAAGTCATAGTATAGTATGTCGTCCAAAATCATGAAAAAAGTCATAGTATAGCATGTCGTCCAAAATCATGAGTCATAGTATAGTATGTCGTCCAAAATCATGAAAAAGTCAAAAATTATGAAAAAAAAGTGATAGTATAGCATGTGTCCAAAATCATGAAAAAAGTCGTAATATAGCATGACATCAAAAATTATGAAAACAAAAGTCATAGTATAGTATGTTGTCCAAAATCATGAAAAAAGTCATAGTATAGCATGTCGTCCAAAATCATGAGTCATAGTATAGTATGTCGTCCAAAATCATGAAAAAGTCAAAAATTATGAAAAAAAAGTGATAGTATAGCATGTGTCCAAAATCATGAAAAAAGTCGTAATATAGCATGACATCAAAAATTATGAAAACAAAAGTCATAGTATAGTATGTTGTCCAAAATCATGAAAAAAGTCATAGTATAGCATGTCGTCCAAAATCATGAGTCATAGTATAGTATGTCGTCCAAAATCATGAAAAAGTCAAAAATTATGAAAAAAAAGTGATAGTATAGCATGTGTCCAAAATCATGAAAAAAGTCGTAATATAGCATGACATCAAAAATTATGAAAACAAAAGTCATAGTATAGTATGTTGTCCAAAATCATGAAAAAAGTCATAGTATAGCATGTCGTCCAAAATCATGAGTCATAGTATAGTATGTCGTCCAAAATCATGAAAAAGTCAAAAATTATGAAAAAAAAGTGATAGTATAGCATGTGTCCAAAATCATGAAAAAAGTCGTAATATAGCATGACATCAAAAATTATGAAAACAAAAGTCATAGTATAGTATGTTGTCCAAAATCATGAAAAAAGTCATAGTATAGCATGTCGTCCAAAATCATGAGTCATAGTATAGTATGTCGTCCAAAATCATGAAAAAGTCAAAAATTATGAAAAAAAAGTGATAGTATAGCATGTGTCCAAAATCATGAAAAAAGTCGTAATATAGCATGACATCAAAAATTATGAAAACAAAAGTCATAGTATAGTATGTTGTCCAAAATCATGAAAAAAGTCATAGTACAGCATGTCTTCAAAAATTATGAAAAAAAGTCATAGTATAGTATGTCGTCAAAAATTATGAAAAAAAGTCATAGTATAGTATGTCGTCCAAAATCATGAAAAAAGTCATAGTATAGTATGTCGTCCAAAATCATGAAAAAGTCAAAAATTATGAAAAAAAAAGTCATAGTATAGCATGTCGTCCAAAATCATGAAAAAACTTCATAGTGTAATTTGTAGTCCAAAATCATGAAAGGAAAATCATGGCATAGTATGTCTTCCAAAACAGTAAAGAAACGTCATAGTATCATGAAACAAGGCCACTGTATATTCATTTCAATTCAGTTTTATTCCTAAAGCACAATATCACAAATCACAATTTGCCTCAAAGGCTTTACAGCATACAGTAAGACAGTCCTTTGGACCCTTACAGCAGATAAGGAAAAACATCCCAAAAAAGAAACACTTAAACAGGAAACAAAAAATGGTGAAAACCTCAGGAAGAGCAACTGAGGAGGGATCCTTCTTCCAGGATGGACAGATGTGAAATAGATGTTGTGTGTATAGAATAGAGTAGCATTATAACATTACAGTGATCCATATGACATAATGATACATAAAGAGAGACAGACAGATCCAGGGCTTAATATTAATTTTAGTAACAAGATTACAATAATAAAAACAGTAATTGTGGTACCATATGTTATGATATATATTTATATATGACGATCAATCAACCTTTTTATTTAGACTCCAGGTCCATTAAAAAAGACAGACAAACATACAATATTTAAAAAAGACAGTCATACCAGTGTTTCCACATAGCAGACTGGTATCGTACAGTACTGAGGACAGGGTTAATCAACGTCATTATAATGGCATTACAAGAACTGTTAAGTCAACATATAAATTTGAATATCAATCATCTCAAAAGAGCATGAAATGTGATTACTTGTACTTTACAAAAAAGTTCATTTGCACTATACCATCTTGGTTTCCCAAGCAAAATTCGCAGACAATCATTATACGCAACCTGAAGTTTGCGGATGCTGGCCTTTTTAAACTTAATCCACAAGGGCAAAGTATAAAAAGGGGTGCAGTAAGCCCTGAAAAGACTCACTTTAACCTTCTCTGAACACCAGGAAAATCTTCTGGTCAACAAATTTGCCTGCATGTATAAAATACGACGCTGTCTATTCATATCATCATCCTCCATCATATCATCAGTGATGATGTGTCCCAGATATTTCGTTTTAGAGCAAGCAGGGAGCACTTGTCCTGACAGGTAAAAAGATGGAAAAGTGAGGTCCTTATCCCCTTTTACTCTGCAAATCATAACAGAACTCTTCTTAGCGTTATAATTCACATCAAATTTTACACCATAATCAGAACGTATGTTGAGCAGCTCTTGAAACCCAGCACTGCTAGGCGAAACAATTGCCAAATCATCGGCATACATAAGGTGATTAATAAGTACACTACCAACCATACAACCTGTTTTACAGTTTCTTAACTGGTCTGAAAGATCATTCATATAAATGATAAAAGTATATGTATGTGGCAATAATAATCTAATGTGTGTAATAACAGTAGAAGTATGACTTATAATAACAGCAGTAGGAGGAGGCATCAGGCAGGACCACAGCAGCAGTATGACCACGACACATGATCCAGGCGTAGCTGCGATATGGGGGAACCTGCCAGACAGTGGAGCACAAAGGCTCCAGAGACAAAGCCAAGTATATTATGTCATTAAAAAAACAAGAACAAAAGTCAAATCATACTTTGTCACCAAAAACATTAAAACATTAAAAAAATGTCATAGTATAGCATGTCGTCCAAAATCAGTATTGTTTGTAGTCAAAAAAATCATGAAAAAACGTCATAGTATGACATGTCGTCCAAAATCATTAAAAAACGTCATCGTTAGCATGTCATCAAAAATCATGAAAAAATGCCATAGTATTGTATGTTGTTCGAAATTATGGAAAAACGTCATAGTAAAGTTTGTCGTCCAAAATTATGAAAAATTTCATAGTATAGCATGTCGTCCAAAACCATGAAAAAACCTCATAGTATTGTATGTTGTTCGAAATTATGAAAAAACGTCATAGTATAGCATGTCGTCCAAAATCACGAAAAAATGCCATAGTATTGTATGTTGTTCGAAATTATGAAAAGACGTCATAGTATAGCATGTCGTCCAAAATCATGAAAAAATGCCATAGTATTGTATGTTGTTCGAAATTATGAAAAAACGTCATAGTAGTATGTCGTCCAAAACCATGAAAAAAACCTCATAGTATTGTATGTCGTCCAAAATCATGAAAAAATGCCATAGTATTGTATGTTGTTCGAAATTATGGAAAAACGTCATAGTATAGCATGTCGTCCAAAATCATGAAAAAATGCCATAGTATTGTATGTTGTTCGAAATTATGAAAAAACGTCATAGTATAGTATGTCGTCCAAAATCATGAAAAAACGTCGTAGTATAGCATGTCGTCCAAAATCATGAAAAATACGTCATAGTATAGCATGTCGTCCAAAATCATGAAAAAATGCCATAGTATTGTATGTTGTTCGAAATTATGGAAAAACGTCATAGTATAGCATGTCGTCCAAAATCACGAAAAAATGCCATAGTATTGTATGTTGTTCGAAATTATGAAAAGACGTCATAGTATAGTATGTCGTCCGAAATTATGAAGAATATGAATAATATAGAAAATACTTCATAGTATAGTATATAGTCAGTTATGATTGAAAAAAGTCATAGTATCAAATGTCTTCAAAAGTTATGAAAAAATGTCATAGTTTGGTATGTTGTCAAAAATCACATATATAAATACATACATACATACATATACTTAGTCCAAAAAAAAGGTCACAGTGTACAGTAGTTTGTATGCCATAGAAATGTTTTAATATAGTATGTCATAAAAAGTGTCTAAAAAAATTGTATGTCCCATTTTTGGGACTATGTCAAAAATAAGTTATAGTCTTGTATGTATGTGTATATATATATATATATATATATATATATATATATATATATAAAATCAACTCATTGATTATTCGTTAAAGCTCAAAGTTTATGAGTCTTTTCACCCAGCTAACAGTTTCAGCCCTACAAACAGACATCAAGACAAAAAAGAAACATGACACTACCTCTTTATGCAAACTTCATCAGAGGACATCCTCCTCTCTGTGTCTTGTGACAGGTGGAGGTGGACAAGCAGGTGTTTCGGGGGACGGGTCCCAATAAGAAAGTAGCCAAAGCCAGCGCAGCGCTCGCCGCCCTGAACAGCCTGTTCTCTGGCTCCAAATCTACAAGCAACAAGAAGAAGAGACCCAACCCTCCTGTGAGTCCATCAGGTGTTTCTGTAGACAGCTTTGAACTAAACTGCGTCATGTTCAGTGCTGACCGCTGTCTGTTTGTGTAGCCCAAACGGCCTGTTGCTTCAGTGCTGACGCTCCCGGCCCTCGCTGCCAGACCTCCACGTGTCCCCGTCATCCCCAGAGCTCCCTACATCAGCACCCCACCCACACATGGATACATCCCCCCAGGTGAGTCCAGCTGCAGGACAAACTACCTGGACACACCTCACACAGCAGCTCTGCAAGTTTGACAGTTTTGGAAGAAACAATAATTTGCTTTACAAGAGAGGTCATTTCTGATTCAACACTCTCTCTTTTTCCTCCCAGGTTTCGGTGCTCCTTATGGTTACAGCCCTGCAGGTGCCCTCCCTCCCTATGGTAAGCTCGCAGTCATTGATCGATAATCCATCCATTTCATTTGTTCATTACCACATCCCAACATTTGAGTTCTTTTTTTTCTTTTTCTTTGCTCTTCCTCAGGTTTTCCCTCCAGAATGCCCTCAGTAGTTGTCCCAGTCATCAGAGTCCCCACAGCATACCCCGTCACCCACCTCTACCCTTATTAGGAATCTCACCTCTCCTCACCTCTCCCACTTCACAGGAAGTCACTTCCTGAAGTTACAGACGGGTGGCAAATTAAAGGAAAACCTTAATAACTGAGTCTGGTCAGGATGACAGTGCCCCATCTGTAGGGCATGAGGGGTCACTGAATGGTTTAATGAGGATGATAATAATTTGAATCATATGCCATGGCCTCAGCTGTCACCAGATCTCAACAGCATTGAACACCTGTGGGAGATTTTGGGCTGACGTATAGACATTGCTCTCAACCACCATCATCAAAACACCAAATTAAAGACCACTGAGCACTGAAGCTGTGATGGCGGCACAAGGTGGCCCAACACCTTACTCAGATTCTTTACAATGGTTTGACCTTTAGTTCGTCACCCGTCTTATATCCTGACTTTTACTGTGTTCATGACACAAGCCTCAAAAACCAACACTGGAATCCACAAACTGTTGACCAGTATACCCAGTATATCAGTACCATTGTTGTATGGCATGTTCCCTCATTAGCAAGCGGCTACATTAAATTGGCCATTAGAAAGTCTTGTGGCAGTTCGACAACAAAGCTCTTTGATCATCAAACCATTCTGCAGTGTGTTAAAGGTTGGTGAGGTAAATGTTACGCAGTAACACATATAAAGCTAAACTCCTGCTGTAGGCTACTCAACAAACTTTCACTGTAAACTAAATGAAATTCTACTTTATAGTCTCTGTATGTACATTAAAAAAATCCATCACACACTAATAATTATATCCTGTCTAAAATAAAAGTCCTCTGAGGGAGAACTTATCAACATCCACCCAAACTAAATATACAGTCACGGTAGGGAACCCTAAATAAATAAACAAAGGAACACAACAGCCTCTGTTAGCAGGTAAAGGAACAGTTCTCTATTGCGGCTGTTTTTTTAAGTTCCCATTGTTCTCAACATGATGTTAATTTCCCTAAACAAAAGCTACTTAGTAAGTAATGTTGGCAAATGATTTAATATCCACTTTACTGCTACTTCTAACCACCCAGTGCAGAAAACTAAATTAATTCCCACTGTAAAAGTACTCAACTACTAAATATCCATGTAGAACCCTTGAGAAATATCCAAAGAGAAAAAAAAACAGTCTCTGTTGGGAACTAAAGGAACAGTCCCCTACTGTGGCTGTTTTTTTGGTTCCCATAGTTATCAACATAGTGTTAAGCTCCTTTAACAAAATATTTATACATATTAAATTATCCACTTTACTGCTACTGCTAACTATCCAGCCCAGGAAACTAAATTAATATCCACTGTAAGTAGAAAAAAAGTTCTATGTAGGGAACTAAAGAAATTACCAGAATTCTCTGTCCAGGTGTGTTTAATTAACATCCATCATAGCAAACTAAATGAACAGCCACTATAGGGAACTAAAATAATACCAACTGCAACAACAAAATACCCAGCACAGGGAACTAAAATATCCATTGTAAGGAACTAAAAGTATTTTGTTGGGAACTTAAGCTACACATACCGTACACAGACTACAACCTGTAAACTAAGGGAACTAAGTAAAAAACTGTAAGGTACTAAAGAAATTATTTGCCATATTGGTCAACTATAAATATCAACATCAGTAAACTTGGAGGGACTGTAGGGAACAAAAACAGCTTCCATACTAGTGAACTAAACATCCGCTGTATGGGAACTAACTCAACAACCACCATAGAAAATTCAAATCAGTCACCATAGGGAACTTAAAAAACACATGTACTGACTAGTAAATATCCAGTGTAGGGAGTTTAAGAAATATCAGCTGTAGGGAACTAAAATTTCCATTGTAAGAAACTGAAAATATTTTGTTGGAAACTTAAGATCCACATACCAAACAGACTACTAAATGTAAACCAGGGAACTAAATAAACATATTGTAAGGAGCTAAAGATGTTCTGCAGGGAACTAAAGAAATTACTCACCATATTGGCCTACTATTAAATATAAACAATATGAAACTAAACAGACACTGTAGGGAACAAAAACAACTACTACACTAGTGAATTGAACATCTGCTGTATGGGAACTAATTCAACAACCACCATAGAAAATTCAAATCAGTCACTATAGGGAACTTAAAAAAAACACATGTACTGACTAGTAAATATCCAGTGTAGGGAGTTTAAAAAATATCAGCTGTAGGGAACTAAAATTTCTATCTTAAGGAACTGAAAATATTTTGTTGGAAACTTAAGATCCACATACCATAAACAGACTACGAAATGTAAACCAGGGAACTAAATTAATGAACTGTAAGTGGCTAAAGATGTTCTGTAGGGAACTAAAGAAATTACTCACCATATTGGCCTAATATTAAATGTCAACAATATGAAACTAAACAGTCCCTGTAGGGAACAAAAACAACTACTCTACTAGTGAATTAAACACCTGCTGTATGGGAACTAACTCAACAACCTCTGTAGAAAAAAAAACCGATCAGTCACCATAGGGAACTTAAAAAAAACAACAACATATGTTCTGACTACTAAATATCCATTGTAGAGAGCTTAATAAATATCAGCTGTAGGGAACTAATGAAACAGCCACTGTAGGGAACCAAGTAACCATACCTACACAGACAGAAAACAGACTACAAAATGTTAATTGATCAGAGAGCTTCTTTGTCAAAATATTAATTATTCCTTTAACTATCACTCATGTATGTGAACGTTGTTTTATATTTTCTAACAATGTTTTAAGTTTCTGTGGAGATTTTTAAAAAACAGGTTTACAATAATCGGTTTGCACTGAGAAACCTTTTCCTTTTGTTTGGATGTTCAAAGTCCGAGTTTACAGTTATTGCTGTTGAGTATTTGAGCTGTTGAGCCATTTTGTGTTGAGTGAAACTACTTTCTTTTCAGGGAGAGATTTTATTTTGACCTGTTTGTAGGTTATATTCTGTTTAAATAAATTAATATTTTTGTCAACGGCTGAGTAACTTTTTCATGATTCATACACAATTTGTCCACATTCACCTTTAATCCTGATCCATAACTGAGGTATCAAACATATTTCTTTTACCTCATGCATGATAAATCTCATTTTTCCAACTTGGTTTTTATTTTCAAAGCACTGGCTGTTATTTCTTTCAATAAGAATAATGACTTTGTACTCACCAAGTGAACAGCTGATATCTGGGAGTGCATCGACATCACTAAAAAGAAGTTGAGAAACAAGCAGTCAAAAAAAGAGGTTGGCAACATGCAAAGGGAAACTGAAATTATTACAGATATCACAGTTTTCATGCCCACTTCCTGCTTCAGTTTTGATCTGTGTACTTACTGCAGTTGTGTGAACAGTTTTCCTACATTTCACGTGCTCTCACAATCAGATAAAGAAGTCACAAAATAAAGTTGTTTGGTTTTTTAAGTCCTGATTGTCTAACCTTTTACCAGTGTCACCAAGCACCCAGATCTCAGGGAATACAGAATTACAATATTTTGCTTTGTTATGGATGCTTTACAAATCTGGACCCCAACCTTAGAATCCTGAGAATCCAGCTGTGCTTGAGAGAAACAACATTGCAGTGTTGCTGCAGACCTGCTGTCACTGATAGAGGTCAATACATGTGACAGGCTGCACTGAATCTATTTATTTCCCCTGAGCGTTAAACATCCTGGGAGCTGCTTCAGGCCTCCTGAGAACAGACGACAGTAACACCAGTTACAACAGTAACAACATCTACAACAGTAACGACAGCTACGACAGAGTAATCTGCTCTGAATCAGTAACTTTGTTCTCAGACTTCCACTGATGACACGGTCGAAGCACTTCCCACATCCATTGGTGTTTATCACCTCAGAGTTTAGGAGAAGGAGGATCAATATCAAGTGCTAACGATTATTTCTGTTAACCCTAGCTGCTTGTGTCTCCCGTCTGCAGGCGGCCTGTACATCGACAGTGCCTATTACCAGCCGCAGACCATCGCCACACCTATCATCATCCACCTGGGCCCTCAGGATCTTTTCTGACCCCACCGATGTACCGAGACCAGACTCGGCGGCAGCCTCAACCTCCTGTTTAATCCCTCACCCTTATTAAACTCTGCCAACGCCTCTCAATTACTGCGGCAGCGCTCCCCTGGGTTTCTCCCTCCACACGAGACACGGCAGCAATATTGAAAGCAATATGGAGGAGAAAACACCTCGGGCAACACTCTGTCAAGTCCAGGTCAGGTTTTAGTGAAGAAGAAGCCACAGACGAGACTTTGTTTGACCCAACTCGCTCAGAAAACGTCAATAAAACACAAAGCAATACTTCTCTTGCCTTCGGGGATCTCTACGTGTTCCAAAGCAACTTCAGACAGGCCATCAGCACCGGCACATTCACTACAATGTGACCTCCTGTATGTAAATATATTTACTATCTGTACATATGGATGTATGTGAGTTTTGAATATATCTATAAATATATAAATATATAAACATGTTAATATGTTTGAATATGTAAAACGCAACGACAGGTAAAGACACATATTTATAATATATCTCTGAATGTAAATACTGAAGTAGCTTTGTATTTAAAGCTCTCTCAGATATGCTATCTATAAATATTAAGACTTCAATACATTTTACAAACTGTCTCGAACACTGTATTGCTATGTTGATGGTATATAATCCCTATTTAAACATGATTACATATAGAAGCACCAGGAGAAATATCACATATAATTTGATAAGTTTTAATGGTTTATTCTCAAACTAATAAGCTCTTAAATTGAAGTTTATCACCTGTTGTAAAGTCTCCTGCTGTCACACAGTTGCTGGGTTTTTGGTGTAAACCACAAGGAGTCATTAGATCATCAACAGATTTCTGTAACACATAAATATCTTCATCTTTTACAGACTTGTTTTGTTTTGGAATCTCTCAAGATGAAATAGCTGCAAAGGTTTAAAGGTAAAGTGTGACAGATTGAGGGGGATTTGATGGCGCCTAGCTTTGAATTGCAGATTTTTACTGGGAGCTGAATTATCCTATTATCTCCTACTTTCCAAAACAAACAGACCAGGTGATTAAAACCACTAAAAGCACTGATTAAAGCAGATTTACGTTACAAATCAAGTGCATCTGCGACGCTATTTGGCATCTCGAAGACGGGCGGCTCGCCCACAACTTGGCTTATCAGGATAAATGATGGGATCATGGACAGATTTCACAATCAGCAGATGGACTTATTATTGTGTAGCTGTTAAAATCATGCTAAAGTCACATATCTGTATCATAAACTTCTATGTTTGGTTCATTTTCTTTCACACCACAAACTCACTGCACCAGAGTCCAATTGGAAGCAGATAAAGACCCACCATTTTGAGCAGTCTTGGTCCACACCAGGGTTCGACTGACAGGTTTCACACTGTCCAAAACAAATACGCAAACAGACCTGAGTTTGTTTTTACCACACCAAACAGGTTAGGTGTGAAAGCACCCTTAAACTGGTAAAAACACTGAATAGTAGTTGTGCATGTGCCTGTTTGCAGCTCGTCCAACACATGCTGATGTGAGGTCGCTTTTTTTCTCTGATAACTTAAGATCCAGACGTTCAGGAGGTTTTCAAACACACCAGGTGATTTATACTGCTAGAAACACTGAATAAAGCATGTTCATGTTACCAATCAGCATGACTCCGGCGCTGCTCATTGCAGTTTGGCGGAAACATGAAAACGCAAATGTGTTCTATCTGGAGCCAGCGTTTGGTTTGTCTGTTCTGGGCTACTGTAGAAACATGGCGATCTCCGTAAAGGAAGACCTGCTCCCTATGTACATATAAAAGGCTCATGCTAAGTTAAGGAGAACACGACTACTCTTATTTTCAGAGGACTATTCCCTAAAGGAAACAAACTCATTATATTATATTGTATTTCTGCCAGTATATCCCCCTGAATCCTGCACACTGGACCTTTAAAAGGTTAAAAATGACCCGCAAAGAAAAGGTGCAGGGTTTTACAAATGTGTTATCTGTGGTAATATTATAGCTTTTATAACATTTCTGGTTTATTATTATATTTAACATTTAGTAAATGTAAAGAATCAATTTAAAACAATTCATGGAATTAAATCTTATCTAATTAATGACCGAGTCAAAGTCGAGGTACCTCATTACATGGATGCAAAAAATCCTAATTGTGTTTGGAACAATGGTCACGATGGTGTAATAGATTAAAAGTAGATTTGTTCAGATATTAATTCCAGTTTCAGAAATGCCTCTGATACTGCCGAAAATGCTGAATCAGGTATCAGCGAGTGCAACGATCTTACACCACATAATTTAATAATAAACTTTAAAGTAGTTTCACACTCAAATAAAACGGCAGTCTTCCCGGTAGCCTCCAGAAAGTTGCATTGTGTAGCCACTGGCAACTACATTTTTAGAGCAACAAAGAAAAATCAGTTGACAGTAAATACTGTGGTGTTAACTGCTGGCACAATGTCAGCAATTTGGCAATATTTTATAATGGAACGTCCCAACAGTAAAAAGGTGTGCAGAACGCAAGGCTTTAGTTTGGAGGTGGCACTAGTGTTTAAATCTTAAAGCATCTGAAGAGAAATCACAGATGTGTTTATTCAGGTTTTACAAAGGGTTTAACCTGAGCCATGAAACTCAACAATGACAGCAATCATTTCACTTCCATACAGTGTCAGTAGTATACAGATGTTAAATTTTATTTTACTCAGTATCGGCAGATATTGAAAGGTATTGAAACATCTCTAAAGTGGACACTACAGTAATATTGGTTGTTAAATTTGTAATATCTTGCAATATGTATCCAACTAACCTCCTAGTTTATGTGCATATTTATATTTTAGCCTTCAATTCCCCTGTTAAATTTGGCTGAGACATTAATGCTATCCATTAAAAGTGTAGACAACAGATTTCAGGTTTGCCTCTTCAGATATTTCCTGAGCTACGCTGAAGGTGGAGAGCTCTATTTGTTATCAGTGAAGAACTACAGCTCCCATGGTGCTTTAAGAGCACATTTAGAGTATGATTACTACTAATGTGAGAGCTGTCTGAATGCTAACCTTGGTTAAAATTATGAAGTGTTCTGATTTTACTGTTGTGTGTGGTGGATTTATTTTAATGGACATGGACAGGAAACTTCAGTATCATGTTGAAGCTACACAGACTGAAGAAAGAAACTGTCTACATAAAGATACGTGCAACAGATGCAAGTGGAAGGGCCCTGACACACCAAGCCCACAGTCGACTGTTAGTCAATGTTTGGCCCTCGGTGAGCATCTGTCGCCCTAGTTTTTGCTGTGTGTCCCGCACTGTTGGCACTAGTCAGCCATTTTTTGGTGGATTCAGCATGTTGAATTAGCGTCAAAGCCAGTGGAGTCCGTCAGTTACTTAAATCACAGATTAGCAGTTCAACTCAGTGCACGAGAGGAGAAACCGAAGTGAGGAAAGTAAACAAACAGCTAAGGTAAAGAGGGCGTGAAATCGAAACTAACGTGTCACATTAGCGAATCTTTTTTTTTTTTTTTTTTTTTTAAGCCACCAAGCTCTTCAGCAGAAACAGTTCGTATTTGTTTGTGTTAATGGTTCGCTAGCTCACGATAAATATGCTTTGTTCTTGCAACATTGCATTGTGTTGTTGATGTGCTAACTGGCGTCTTGAATCCATCCTGTCCATGGATGTATAAACAGATCTGAGGTCTCATTTCTAGAACAGTGCGTAGGATCCATACTAGAAATGTGTGTGTGGACAAAAAAAAAATGGCGTGCACCAAAAAATATTTGACAATTTCTACAATCAGGCGTCCACCTCACCATCTGCATCGCCAACTTCACATCTCTAAAATGTTCATAAGCCGAATGAGCCAAAGTTTCCCCCATCAAGTCTGTTTTTACAGATCACAACTTTTGCGTGGGAAGTGGCGTACGCCTCTTTCAGGCTTCGTTTTGTGCGTATGCAGTGTTTTTAAATGAGACTCCTGGACACAGCATTGGCAACGAGGCCCCATTAATTCCTAAGAAAAGCTGCTCAGTGGCGCATGAAGCCAAAATGGTTCAATTGTGGCGTATAAAGTTACCCACATGATCGGGCAGTGCCTTCACACTGTGGACTACAGACTCCCACCAGACGAGTTGGCTACTTGTGGTTTAGCGCTCTGCTAACTAGAACGGTCTATTGGGGGGGTATGTTGGGGTTAAAACGTAGGGTTAGGGTTAGGATTATAGTTATGGGGAAAAGTCATTTTGGGCTGCGGGGCATCACGTGATGGACTAGGAAGTTTTAATTCCACTGTTTGGCTTCTACGAAAATTGGCCTCAAAACATGGCCCACTTCCTGGGGGCCTGGTCCTGTCAGTCTTCCAGGTTCTCTTTTTGAATGACGAATGCAGACCACTGCCACCTGCTGGTCTGGAGAGTTATTTCCTCTCAAGCCGGTGCAAAACATACGTGCTAGTTGGTTGTTGGCTGTAGTCTTTGTGGTGTGTTCATTTGTCACTTCCTGGCAGAGACACAGGCGATGTGAGACAATGCAACAGTCAGTGTTTGTTGCTGCTAGTTTTTTGATGTCGGTTGGTGTGTCTGGGCCCAAACAGAGCCGAGCTCGGACACTTCAGCTTTTTATGAGTTTGTTTTTCATAGTTTTCAGATTTCATCACTTGTTGCTGAGAGGCACCTGATGTTAGTCTCATGAAACAACTAAACTTTAATGAACAGACTATTCCAAAAGAAGATCTAAAGCCTGAAAGGGAAAAATGGGAATTTATCAAAATGAATCTTAATTATTCTTGCACTTCACTGTGCAACAACTTTTGACAGAAGCATATTAACACTGAGGAAAAACATTTAACACAATGCAAAGTTTTACGAAGCAGTATCAGATAACATGACCTGCTAACATGTTCTTGGTGTGTTATTCCTTGCTGCAGCCTGACTGGAAAGCACAAGTGTCTAAAGCAATATTCAACTCAGGAACCTCCAAACCAACTTAATCTGATCATGTGACACAAACAAATAAAACTGTCAACAAAGCTTCTGCACTGTAGACGAGACGATGCTTCAACAGAATGTGAACGCCGCTGTGGATGTTTAAACACCTGCTGTAATATTATGCACTGTTTAAGTGTTGATGAATGTAACAAACTAATCAAAGGTCAAAAGCCTCGGTGAGAGGAGAGTGTACTGTACGCTTTTTTGTTTGTTATCATTTTCATTAAAGTTCAGTTCATGGATTTTAACGTCTAAATGTTCACTATGAGATTCTTGATTTGGTTTTATTTGGAGAATTATATCAAAGAGAGGACGTCTTTAGTGTCCTGAGTTCTGCCCTCTGACTGTGGAAGTTCATTAATAACAAAAGTGGAAAATGTCCGCTGCACTTCAGAGCTTTTCCTCAGAAAAACAGCTTGTAACTTTTGTGGACGCCTCCACACTACTCGGTCAATTAATCAACTTCACTTCTGAAAAGCTATTTGACTCAGAAAGTAGCGACGCCCCCACCACACTACTGAGAGAAGCAGTTAAAGTAGTAATGTCGCTACTTGTAGTGACGCTCCTGCCCAACACTGATGATGTCTTCCAAGGAACATTGGAAACAGTATTTACATGGCCTGTAGCCTGAAGACTTTGCTCACAGATATTACTCTGACATACGTCTACCTCATTATTTGAAAATGAGGCCATGTTTAATATGACATTATACATTAAATAATGTTAAATAAATGACAGAGAATAAGGAAAAGCATAATAAGTCCCCTCTAAATTACTCATTCCACTCATATTAGTTCTGGTTTCACTCAATAGTTTGTCATTTCTGAACTCCCATCCCAATAGCTCTGGCAGTTTTCTTTGACTTCTGGGATTCTTGTCTTTACTGTGTGAAATCAGAGATGCTTTTCTGATTTGTAAGTCATGCAAAACCCTGAAATTAAAAGAATGTGTAACAGGACCAGACAAAGCATGAAAAGAAATTGGAGAAATATGTGTGTGGTGTTTGTTTCTGACCTCCTCTCCATCAGGGTGAGTTATTCCTCCCGTCACACTCGGCTGCCGCAGAGCTAATTACATCTGAGTGAAGAGAAAGAGAGCGAAAGAAACTTCTGATTACACACTGCGAGAATCAAATAACAGCCCAAAACAAGACATTTAAACCAGCTGTTTAGATGAAAAGCTGAAGCACTTAATGGGAAAAAATGTGTTTGTAACTCTGCAGGAAGCTTGTTTGGTCTCCAGTATCCCACTGATATTCCCCAAATCGCACCTCGGTGCTGCACAACGCGCACAGCAGTAAAAACATTACAGCACAGGAGACTGAAAACAGACTTAACACATTTTTATTTGACACGGTTTTAAAACGAGCACCACTTATTGTCAAGGTAGCTTCCAGTTTCCTGTTGTTTCCAGAAGCATCACACAGCAGAGGAGACAAAAAACACCATCAGTCAAAGAGCTGATGTTTTTGGATTATGACTGGAATATTTATTTATGTCTATTAAATAAACTCTCACTTCTCCTAGAAGTGATTATTCTTTTCTTCACTTCAGTCACATGGTGCTCATATTTTAGGGGATTTGCAGGTGAGATTCTTCAAACCTTAATCTGATGAAAAATTCCCTCGAGACATTTAATTAAAAGCTCCTGAACGCAGTCAGTTTGAAAGCTCACAGTCTCCGTACAAGCGCTCAGCAGCTGACACGTCGAGGTCTCCACAGTAATAATCTTGTCCTGTCTACAGTTCCCGTCTCCAGCAGAGAGGTCAGAGGTCAGTGTCTTGCTGAGTGACTATAATTAACATCGAGTATCTTTGAAAAACAGTCGTTCAGATCAAGTTAAAGGTCAAACAAATGTTAGCAAAAACTAATTTCCTACTTTGGAGGCGCAAACACGCAGCGAGGCGACGGACAGGGTGCCAATCAAAATGAAAACACTGTTTTATTGAACGTTTTGAGCTGTGTTTGGTGAATAAAGCCTGGTGGAGCGGAGAAAGGTTGTGCAATGTGTTTTCATTTTGGAGCAGAAACTAATATTAAATGGAAAAAAAAATGAAATGGTTTTCAAGGTGAAACACCCCAATTTTGAGATTTTGGGCTATTATGCCTTCATAACAAGTCTTATTTCACACTAGTGGAAAGAAAACATCAAAATACACATTTAGGTGTTTTAGTTCAGATTTCTGTTCTGGAAATGTGTGTAAAACATGTTCATTTAACCCTTTGAATCCTGAGCAAATTGGCTTGATTTCTTTCAAAAACATGGGAGGAAGAGCGGTGAGCAACTTCACAAGCAATGACCAAAAATTGGCCAAAAAAAAAAAAAAAAATTGTAAAAAGTTACAAAACAAATTACCTGAAAATTAGCAAAAAAAAAAGTAAAAAAACAAACAAACAAAAAAAAAGTATAACTATTGAAAAATATATAGATATATGTATTCCATTACAAAAGTTTGAATATTTGATTATAATAATCATAAATATAGTTTTCTGGACATTCAGTCGTTCATTTTCCGTCACTGCTTATCCTGGTTTTCTGGACATTTTTCCCTTTTTTTTTATTTTTTATTTTCTCTTTTCCAACAACTGATTTTCAGATCATTTACTTGTCAGCTTTTACAAATTTCTTGCTCATTGTCATTTTTTTTCTCCATGTTTTCAAGAAAAAAAAAACTGATTTACTCAGGTTTCAAGGTAATGTGTAATGTAATGTAATATCTATATGTTAAAAAATTTACCCTAATCACCTGTGGTGTCTTATATTTTGTGTAAAAATGTATGGACTTTTACAGCACATAACTTTGAAGGCCATTTTCTCAAAATGAGTTGAGCCAACAAATCTCAACTTCAGCAGCACCAAACTTTCCAGTTTTACTCTGATCCATATTCTGAAGGTTTCTACCTTCAAGGGTTGTTCATACAAATTGACTTTTTGTATGGCTGTTGACAGTATTTTCTGATTTTGGCAGTGATAAAGAGAGACATTCAAAATTCCCTCTATAAAAACTTTTAACTCTGCTATGTCAACAAAATCAAACAATATTTTTGAACCTGGCTTTGTCCAATGATCAGATTTTTGTTCTGGAAATGTATGCACCCTACTGTATTCCCGAGGCGTCTTCTCTTAGGCAGCTGTCAGCACTAGAGTCGTCTCCTTTGGTCTGAATCAGGGACTAATAATGAAACAAAGTTGTATAATTGCCTAGAGTTGGTTCGTGTTCTCACGGCAGCATTTACAAGAGGACCAGATCAAATGCCTTGTGTGAGAAAGCTGCTCTTGATTGGTCAGAATCTCCATGTGGGAAAAATCCAGGAAGTAAAGCAAACGTTGAAGAAGAGTACACTTGAAAGATAAATGTGACACTTTCTAATGTCACAATGGAGGGACAACTACGCAGGTTGATTTTAGCGCTGCTCATCGTGGACTATATTGCTGTCATTGTTCATTTTAGTCAAACCATACAGTTTGAAAACGAGGCGCGGCTCCAACTAGAAAACAATGTTTTGATGCATTGGATGTGCTGAATGTGCATATTAAGGCAGTACAGGAGGAGGTGCACATTAATAATCCTCCAGGACTGTAACATGCTCATGTTTAACACAAACAATGTGTCATGTGACTGCAGTTGCTTCACATCCAGGTCGGAACACCTTCTCACCACAAACCAACCGCACCAGAGTTCATTTGTAACCAGACTGAGACCACCTCTTCAAGAAGGTCTCAGTCCAGTTGTTTGGTGTGTTCACACCTGCACAAACGAACCGCACTGAGGGGGCAAACCAACTTGAGTTTGACTGAACCAAACCCAACAGGGCAGGTGTGAAAGCAGCCTTAAGCAGCATGAAATTCGTGAAAGTTAAACAAAATAATCTCAACTCAAAGTCCATTAGTCCGGTTTAAAAGGAACAAGGAGTAAGTGATGAGAATCCCGGCCCAGCTTAAACGAAAAGTTCCACCTCCAGCAGCCAGTTAGCTTAGCTTAGCATAAAGACTGGAAAAAGGGAGAAGCAGTTAGCCTGGCTCAGTGAGTGGTAACAAAAGTCCACCTAGCAGCACGTCTAAAGGCCCTGACACATCAAGCTGATGGTCGGCCTTCGTTCAAGAGCCACTGGTGAGCAACCATCACCCTAGTCAGTGCGGTGTGTCCTGCGCCACTGAGCTCTTTAGCAGAAAGGGATTCATGATGGTCTGTGTTGTTGTTCACTGACACTGATGGAGCTCAAAGAGACGACCACTACAGAGGAGACAGCAAATTACAGCAATTTATAGTTCAGAAAATCCAGAGGAGAGCGACAAAATGCAATCTGAGGTAAGAATAGGACATGGTAGCAGTAAGTGTAGTTAAGCCGCCCACCCCTGAAAAGTGTATAAATCTCCCCTATGTGAAGCATTTAAGGGGAGAATACCCTCCTATTTTCATCCATTCACTTTCCCAAACCACTTATCCTGTTAAGGGTGCGGGGGCGTTGGAGCCAGATGACACTGGGTGAGAGGCAGGGTTCACCCTGGACAGGTCTCCAGACTATCACAGGGCTGACACATAGAGACAGACAACCATTCACACTCACATTCACACCTACGGACAATTTAGAGTCACCAGTTAACCTGCATGTCTTTGGACTGTGGGAGGAAGCTGGAGCACCTGGAGGAAACCCGCGCTGACACAGGGAGAACATGTAAACACAGAAGGGCTCCCACACCCTGGGTTCAAACCAGAAAACCATCTTGCTGTGAGGCAACAATGCTAACCACTGCACCATGTTTATGTGTATCTATGAATTTGCACTGTCCCATCCTAACTAAACTAAACTAAACTAAATTAAATTAAATTAAACTAAACTAGATTAAACTAAATTAAATTAAACTAAATTAAACTAAACTAAATTAAATTAAACTAAATTAAACTAAACAAAATTAAACTAAAGTAAACTAAACTGAATTAAACTAAACTAAATTAAATTAAACTAAACTAAATTAAACTAAATTAAATTAAACTAAATTAAACTAAATTAAATTAAAATAAACTAAATTAAACTAAACAAAATTAAATTAAATTAAGCTAAACTAAACTAAATTAAATTAAACTAAACTAAATTAAATTAAACTAAATTAAACTAAACTAAATTAAATTAAATTAAACTAAACTAAATTAAATTAAACTAAACTAAGTTAAATTAAATTTAATTAAATTAAACTAAACTAAACTAAACTAAGTTAAATTAAATTAAATTAAATTAAACTAAACTAAACTAAACA